ACCTCTTGCTTTTAGCAACATTGAGTGCAAAATTACAGTAAAGCTAAAATATTAAAGCTAAAACATATTTCCCAAATAATTTCAAACACTGTGCAGATATCTCATCTAATCTCTAATCTTAACCTCTCCACCTCTCTCCAGTCCTGCGTTTTACGCTATCAAAAGACATTTCCTCCTGAAAGCTCCGATACAGACCTTGAATTATAGAGAAGCATGTGTTATCTTTCTCTAAAAAATAGTCTTTACCCTTACCAGCCCCCAATCTTATAAACTTGGAGTCATTTTGGACCCTACTATCTCTGTATTTGTATTTAAATAAAAGTCTAAGATCCTGAATTAGCAGGTCAAGGCACTGATCAACGCCATTTTATTATAAAAAGTTAGTGAGACTTCATATTTTGTAACCAAGTCTCTTTCTTTCTTTCTGTTCTCTCACTTTCTGTCCTTTCTACTCCAAAATGCCTGGCTGGTTGATGGTGACCCAGATGAATCACATTCTCAGCTGGGAATGCGAGGCTATAAAGTCGTGTTTCCCAATGCTTCTCCCCCACCCTGAGTAATGCAGTTTTGCAACCCAAGGAACTGAGAGGGAACTAGAGTACACAATGCTTAAGAGAGAGGTAGAGACCATATCATGTATAACAATAACTGTGTCTGTTCTTCAACTTTTTAAGAAGGGAGTGAGACTCTTTCAAGCTTTCTCCTTCTCTATTTCTGTTACTGCACCTGCTTGTTCTTGGAAGTGCATTTGGAAGCCAAACTGGCTTTCCTGGTTGCGGAGACGGTGGAGCACTGAAGGGTGCCCTGGCGTGTTTCAGAATGCACCGCTGGCAGGCCCTTTCCCTGGCTTCTGAGACAGGGAGACTGATCCTGGTCTCGTTGCTTCTCTCCCACCAAAGTTGACCTCTTCTCCACTCTGTTCTGATTGATTAGAGGGTGGTAATGTGAACCTCTCCCAAACCCACTAAGAATGCTTATTCACTCTCATCTGGACACTTAGAAGCCACAATTTGTAGCATAACCTAGATCGAGGAACCCACAGCACAGGGAGCATCAATAATGGAGTGGGGTTGGATACAGGACTTTCCAGAAGCCCTTTGCTCTAGCCATTTTCATTCCTTACTGGCTCCAAACCCTCGGGGTATTGGCCCTGGGCTGGGGGGCAGGGACACAAGGCGTCTCTCATAGAAGCCACTGGGTGGCTTAAACAATACAAAATTCTTTTCACACAATTTTGGAGCCTGAAGTCCAAGACCCAGCTGATGGCAGGTTTGGTTTCTCCTGAGGCCTCTCTCCAAGTCCAGATGGTGGCCGCCTTCTGGCCGTGTCTTCATATGCTCTTGTCTCCGAGGTACACATCCCTGTGTCCTAACCTCTTCTTGTCACAAGGAGACTGGTCAGATTGGATTAGGGCCCATCCTAATGGCCTCATTTTACAGAGTCACCTCTTTGCAGGCCTCATCTCCAAATACAGTCAGATTCTGAGATACTGAGGGTTAGGACTTCAGTATGTGAATGGGGTGGCACAGTTCATCCCATAACACCTGACAATCGGTGACAAACTAGCATCTTCAAACTGGGAGAAGGGGAGAGGAAAAAAGGAAAGAAAATGTGCCCAGCGGGAAAGTGAGCTAAATTCAGAACATATTAGTCACAGTTCATGGACAAGGAATTATATGTGAGCACTTAATTTGTTAGGCACTAGAAGAGGAAAGAACTCTAAAATTGCTGATTGCTAACTCTGGACCAAATGGGTTAAAAAAAAAAGGCTAGGTCACAGATGACATTAAAATTTACTGGTACCCACTCTGTGTTCTGTATCTGTTTACTTGGGGTAGAGATGATTGCTGCCATCCTTAGTGAGCACAGGAAGCACATTTTGATAAGCATCAGTCTGAAACAGTTGCAGATAAAATAAATCACAGGCGATCACAGAACGCTTCGGTAGGAGCTCCGTGACTGAGGTGCTTTTTGCTCCATGATAATCTGCTAAAGGCATAACTTATATTATTGTCAAATAGCTTAATTAGTCCTCCTATTAACAATCATACACTATCTCTATAAATCTTGCTTCCTAGGAAATCCACAAACCAATGGAAAAACCCTTTGGAACTCAAATCTGACTTTCTTCCACAGAGCCAGAAAAAGATACAAATCTTAGAGTAAGAAAGAGAAAGAAAAATAGAAAAAGTGTCCAGAATAAGATCAAAGTCCAGCACCTATCTCAGGGTATTCTGGGCAACGAGGGGCCAGAGCAAATGCATAGGAGCCAGCTTTCCATCTCCCAGAACGAGGCTGTCACCACAGGGCTTCATTCAGGCTTGATGCACTGTGAGTTCTTCCCACCGTAAGGTGTAGACAATTGAGCAATACCAGAGACAAATAACCACCATGTACACATTTCAAAAAAGGTGTGTTCAATCGGCCCAAGCATAAGGGATGCTTTACCCAGTGCTCAGTATTATCTCAACCCTGAACCCTAAACAACTGGAATCCAGCTGACCACGAAGCAGGGACCAAAAGTTATCAGGCAGTTCCAGGCTGAAAATTCTATGATTGTCCTTTTGGGGAATCCTCAGTAAAGCACAGAAGAATCTTAGGGCTGTGTCCAGGTTACAAGCTTTGCTGGTTCATCTAGACAGCCCCGTGTGATGACCACACACACCGGCTGGGTTTTGATGGTGATTAAGGGTGTCTGGTACACAGCTAGTGTTATACATAGGAAACACAGGAAGTGTTTAGAGAATCAGTTGCAAATAACTGTTTCCATAATTAACTGGTGAACTTTATTGTGAGAAAGACCCTTATTTAGTAAAAACTGTGTGTAACTACAAATTAATTCACATTTGAATAAAGTATGTTGATTAGTTAATGTTGTATCAATATGAATTTCCTCATTTTGATAATGTATCCTGGTTATATAAGGTAATATTTGGCAACATTGGATGAGGGTATATGGGAATTCTTTGAGTATATTTTTTGCAAATTTTTATGAGCTGAAATTACTTCAAAATGAAAAGTTAAAAGAATATTTTTAAAGATTTAAAAAGGAAATTCACAGGACTTAACAATTTACCCAGAATTTGGGTTCTGGGGGCCTGGACCCAGAAACGCAAGTACCCCTTTAACCTCTCTCCTTTGCTGCCACAGAAATGAAATCTGCCATCTGTCAGATGAAATAACAAATATGAACGCTTTTGCCACAGGAAACTCCTAAACAAATGGTAATGGTAATAATTATGGTCTCAGGTGGAGGTGCTTTTCTATAAATAAAAGGAGGAACAAGCCATTATCCTAAATACCATTTAGGACACCAGGCTACCCATGTTCTCCAGGTGGCTTACAGAATGCTTAGAGATTGTTGTCCTGGTGGAAGGAAACAGGGCATTGTGGCCAGTTTTGAGAAAAACGGGCCTTTAACAACAGCAATACTGCAGGAAGATTCATCAGGCCTCTCATCCATAGGGCCGATAAAGTGGGAAGGGACCAGACTCGGCAAATTTCACTATGAGTTATTCCCAAAACTGAGAAGTGAACAATCCCACTGACTGGACCTTGAAAGGAAGAAATCCAGAGGAGAGGCATTTTGAAGAACTCGTGGCTCTGGGCAGAACTAGCCTGGAGGTGGGGGCGGAAAGAGATGAATGAGTCAGTGGTTACTTGAAGATGTCTCACTGAGACTGGGGCAGTGTGGTGATGTCACTGAGAGACAGCTGGGAAATGGAAGGAAGGCGACACCATGCACGGAGCTTGGCCGCAGAACTCACGTGGCTCCAGAGGCTGGGCAGGTGCAGAGGGGGTTAGACAGGCCACAGGGTTTGTGAGACTGGAAGACTCACCTCTAAAGAGGTGCCTCCAAGGGGGGCTGCCACAACTTCCCAGCAGAGTCCTTGCCATGTGGGAATGCACTTCCAGTGTTACCAGAGCTTCCATTTTTGCAAGAGAAGCCAGAAGTCCATCTCTCTTACGTGAAAGCTCTTAACTCTTTAATGTTGGCAATTAATTAAAAAAAAAATTGAAGCATGGTGTGTGCCAAACCAAACACATCTGTGGGCCAGATTCTACAGGCAGGCTATCAACTGTGACCTCTGACAAAGAGAGGAGGTTAAGGGTGAAAGTTCATAAACTGTCTTGATGATACATAGTGGGATAAGTGACTGCAGAGGTACTCGGTAACTAAAATACTGTACATAAAGCTCTTGCCAGGAATCTGAGCTGAATGAATGTCCCTACCCTTCAAGTCTATATATGGATTTGAATTTATACAGGAAGCTTCATCTAAACCTCGAATGGTTAAATCACAAGAACTGGAGTGCTTACTATGTGCTGAGTGCACAGAAGTCAAAGAATTTCAAACCCAACTGGGGAAGAAAAACCATGCCCTCCTGAAAACGACAAAGTTACGAAGGAACCTGGGAGACTGCTTATCTTCACATTATGCTAGATTCGAATAATCAGAGTCAACCTAACTCCTAGATTCTTCCCCCGACCCCATCACTTCCATTTAGCAAACTGCAATAATGCATGTGTGTGTGAGCGTGTGAGCTGGAATCTGAGACCGGACCCTTCCCTCACGTGGGTGGAGCGCTGGCTGGGTTGGGGGCACCTGGGCGCGCAGAGGAGGCTAAGAGTGGCCGGTGGAAACCGCGCCCTGTCAAGTTTCTCTGCTGGAATCCCTGCCTTTGTTTCTGTCATTACTCTCTAGGGGTTTGTGTGGGAGGGGGCAGGCACCGAAATAGAAAGTGTCCCAGAGACGGTGACGAGGAGGATGACAACAAGGCAGGACTTTTTTCAGTCCCACCTTGCTCCCGCCACCCAGAATGTCCGCGCGCCGCCTCCTGCCTCTTCAAAGCGCAGTCGGCGGCGCAGGAAGCCGGCGGCTCGGGCGGCGGGTCCTGCTCGGGGAGCCGCGGTTTCCTCCGAACTCCGGGCTGCGCGGCCGTCTCCGGAGTCGCCGCGCGAGTCCGCGCCGAGCGCGTTACCCCCCCACACCCCGCACTGCGCAACCCACCCACCTACTTCCTCCGCTCCGTCCTCTCGCAGGCACAGAGCTGCCAAAAATTTCCACCCTCCGCCCCCCTCCCTCGCTAACTTCCTTCCAGCATTTCCTGAGCTGGATGATCCTAGGATTTGTAAGACAGGAAAAAAAGGAAGGCGCGAGGGCGGGCGAGGGAGACAGGATGCTTGCTTTTCGCGTTACCGAGGCCGTCTGAAGGCACGACCGCGGGCGCCGGGAGGAGGACCCTCGCCACCCCGCGCCGTCTCCCGCCCCGCGCGGCCGCCGCCTTCCCCGCGCTCGCCCCGGGCGTCCAGAAGGGCGGAAAGCCAAGCTCGCCCTTCCTCCCCAGCGGAGAAAACAGCCGAAGACACCGCGGGAGCCTGTGAAAGTCCCTGGGACTCCAAGTGAGGAAGTGACACTCCCTGGCGAGCCGGCCCGCAGCTGCCAGCTCTGCACGGCCTCCGGCACCGCGGCCCTGGAGGAGCGCGCGGGGGATTTCAGGCTCCGCGCCGCCCCGCGGGGTCCGTGCGCACTGCCCCGGGCCCAGCTTCTGGTGGACGCCCATGCGGCCCCCTCGAGCCGCGCTGCAGCCGGTGATCTAACCCCGGAGACAATCTTCGGCGCGGTGCCAAGCAGAGGGGAGGGGGACACGGAGGGGCAGCCTCTTTGGGACTAACTCATGAAGAACAAGGGTGCCAAGCAGAAGCCGAAACGAAAGGGAGCCACCAGCGCCTTTGGCTGTGACTTGACCGAGTATCTGGAAAGCTCAGGACAAGATGGTAATGTGCCTTCGCGTCTCTACCCCGTTCTTTTTGTTTGAGGGAGAGATGGACTCTCCTGGGGTGCGTTAGAGTCAGCTCACAAGTTAATGTATTCCAGGCCTGTGTGCTCATTTTACTATTTTTTTTTTTTAAGAACAATATGATTCTTAAGGTGCACAGCGCTGCCTCCCCGACGTGCAGAGGTAGTGTCAATCCTTCCGTTGGTCTCACTTTTGCCGTTAATGGGCGGTGCTGCTCCCGTTTAACTGGCTATTTCTGGGGGTGGGGGTGGGAGCTGGAGAGGTCTTGATTGCGAACTTTGGATATCAGAGAGGAGGGCTAAGGGCTCGGTCTGTGGGGTGGTTATCAGTGGGCCTCGCTGCAGTCACAGTTGTGACCACCTTGGGTGTCCTTCTCGGGCTCTCCAATTTCATTGCTCACATCTTTTTTTATTAATGTGCTGGAAGGCGAGGGGTGCGGTGGATCCTGGCTGGGGGAGTGGTTGCACAAACATTTTCTGAATTTCTGAACTGATGCCAAATATAATACTACCTCCCTCCGTCCTCTTCCCAGCCCCCCAGACCCTCTACCTCCTCCTGGCTTTCAGATCAGCATTTGGTGTGTCAGACAAGAAGGGTGTTGAAAAAGGTCAGAGGGCCTTGATTTTAAAATAGTTTAGATAGGGCACGTAAAAGAAAAGGAGAGGGTCTCTGTCTTCAAGGTCAGATTGGAAAAGAAAATAGAGGGAATCCTGCAGAGTAGAGACAATTCAAACGTTTGTTGGGGGAGGGGAAAGAAAATAATGCAAAATACAATAACAGCACTTGAGGTTAGAAGCGTTTAATCATAGGAAAGTTGGGGAAATTGAGCATTAAATGAGCCCTTTTGTAAGGTTGACTGGCCCTGCATTTAACCGTGACAAAAAGGCCTTGTCTTGGGAAACTTCGGTGAGAGAGAAAGCCATCCACTATGTGGGCCGTGTGTTTATTACACACACATAGGTACAACAAAAGGGGTAACTGAAGGGCCGCTTAACTGTGCGGAATAATTCTGCCTCCAGGGACCTAATCTCAAAAATGGTGTGATTAGCTCATATCAGATGTGCACCTCAAAAACAGTGCAAGGCTTTTGTTTCGGTTCCTTCTTTTTTAGAGATTGAGCACCACCTAGTAATTTGCAGTGGTGTGATATTCCTGTGGTGTTCTGGAGTTCAGAGCCTGCTGTGTCATTAGGACAAATGGCTTAGTATTTTAGAGCTTGGGGGACCATAGGTTTCAAAACTGCCTCTTTTAAAAGTGAGGCGTAACTGAATCAATTCATTTCCTCCTCTCTGACAATCTGGAGAGGAACTTTGAAATCAAATGGCTTGGATTGAGGGTTTTTTTTCTTTCTTTCTTTCTTTTTTGAAGGTGGGAGAGCACAACTATATATTTTAATGCTACCCTCAGGAATTCAGAATGAATGTTCCCTCCACCTGTTTTTGCAGGGGCCTTCAGGTCACCGTCCAGGTACACTCTCAGTGTTCCTGAGATGCCCCCTTCAGCACTGTGGGTGTTGTGCTGGGCCTTCCCTCTAAAGCTGCGACAATTGCATGGGGGTATTGGCAGCCCTGCCCCGATTCTCACAATGTCATAGATCACAGGATGAGCCAGGAACCCAGGGTTCTGTGGAGACACCTCAAAGCCAGCCTTACTCAGATTTTCTTTCATTTGCTTTATATTTTAGGGTTCCATATATGTTTCATTTGGGAAAAAAAGAATGGGGTTACTGCTCAAAGAAAAAAGTTGAAAAGCAGTTCCCAGTGTTCCCTGCTCTGGGGAGGAGGGGAGGAGCCCAGAGAGGCGCACTGACCTGCCTGAGGTCACACAGTTAATCATGAAGGATGCAGAGGGCCCTGGCCTCTCAGGCTCCTTTCCTCTCCCTGGCTTCCGTGTCTAGGCCAACATTCCCCTCTAATGATTTTTCCCCCTAAATTGAAAGCAGACAGCCCTGCCACGGGATCAGCAAACTTTCAAGACTGACTGACATACCTGAATAGAGTTCAGCTTTGAAATGAAAGGAAACTGACCTACTTAATCATCCATGCACCGTCATTGTGCCATGTGGGAATCAGGCACACATAATAAAGTGCTTATATAAATAAAAGTAATTAGGATTTCTTCGTTCCCAGATCTAAATCTAGTTAGGTGGTTGTCTCTTTTTTTGTTACAGTGTAGCATCAAAGTCAGTGCTAATAATATTTTCTCTAAAACAATGTATCCTCCTTATGGGTTTTCTGAAACATGGATTGGTTAATAGACAAGTAAGTCCAAGGCCTGGACTCTGCTTCTAGTGAGGACAAGCTGACCTGGGCCCTGTCGATTTGCTCACCACCTTGAAAGTTCAGCCCAGAATCCTGAGGGTGACAAGTCACCATGGTAACCAGGAGCCAGAAGGCCGGGGAGGTCTGCAGAAAACTACGTCATGGTTTCTTAACCTTACAGGGCAAGGGTACTGTGATGGGTGTGGGTAGAGACAGAGAAGAATGGGTTTGGGTCTGGGAGAACAAGGCAGAAAGGAAGGACAGAAGTGCAAAGAAACCAAGAGAGGCCCTGTGCTTGGACAGGGAAGGGAAGGCCAAGTTGCTGGAGGACAAAGCTGGTGACAATTAGCTGCACGCAGGTAACCCTGAGGCTGAGCATAGAGGATGAATGCCATCGACTCTTGTGATTCGTTGTGGCCCTGCTCTGCTACCTTCAGCTGGACAAGTCTGACAAGGCAGGGTGTGTGGGTGACAAATAGGTGTTCAGCTTAGCGCGGATGTTGCTCAGGGCCAGCTGTCATCCCTAATCTTTAGGAAGCTGATGAAAAACAGAACTCCTTTTTCTTAGGAAAACACACACACTCGGATTGTGTATACAGTTTTTGTGGGCATTCACATAGATGCCACGTGCAGGCCCTGCTGTTGCTCACCCCTAGCTGCACACAGGCCTGATGGGAATGACAGTATCGCCCTTTTGCTTATTTAGCCGCTTTTCTCCAGCCTGGTGAGAACACCCAAGAATGGCAAGAAGTTGCTCCTGGCCAACTTGGCAGGAGCCTCTTTTACTTCCCCTCCAACACGGTGGCTGCTGCCCCAACCCCCCGCTCTCCTCTAGGAACCAGATAACTTTCTTTTCCTGTGTGGAATAGAGGGGAAAGATTGTCTCCTCCTCACTGCTAACGCTGACAGTAGTAGTTTTCTTTCTCTTATTTTTGACCACTGTATACGAAGGCCCATGCTTGCAGCCATGTACTGGAAACAACATCATTTTGTTGCCTGTGGTTGGGAGGCTGTGGGTGAAGGCCAGATTGCACTCACAGGCATTTCCTACCTCTCCCCTCTGACCCAGTTGCGCTGGGTGATGTCAAGGGACCAGTGAGAGAGCATTGTCAGGAAAGCTCTTCTGCCTCCATGCTCTAAGGGCTGAGGACTCTCTCATCCTTGGAAACAATCTTTGTCATTCTACTAATACCCTGGTAAAAAGTGATATTGCTCTGGCCCAGTGGTTCATCATGATGGTGGCACATTAAAAGAATGATGTAGGGAACCTAAAAAGCAGTTGATGCCCAGGCCCCGCTGCTTAGACCAATTAAATCAGAGTCTCTTGGTGCCCAGATATGGGTACGTTTTAAAAGCTAGCTATTCTGCCCTTGCTGGTGTGGCTCAGTGGATTGTGTGCTGGCCTGCGAACCAAAGAGTCACTGGTTCAATTCCCAGTCAGGGTACACACCTGGGTTATGGGTCAGGTCCCCAGTAGGGGGCACACGAGAGGCAACCACAAATTGTTGTTTCTCTGCCTCTGTTTCTCCCTCCTTTCCCTTCTCTAAAAATAAATAAGTATAAAATCTTAAAAAAATAAAAGCTAGATGCAGTGCAGAGGTTTATAGAACATTTCCCCTCAGATAAGTAGCCTGGGACATTCAAAATATACCCTTTGAACATTTGATAAGAACTGTGGGCTCCCATTTTTTTAAAGTTTTTATTTATTTTTTTAGAGAGAGGGGGAAGGAGAGAAACATCTATGAGAGAAACATCCTTGTGCAAGAGAAACATTGATCGGTTGCCTCTCACACACCCCTAACCAGGGACCTGGCCTGCAACCCAGGCATGTGCCCTGACTGGGAATTGAACCAGGGACCCCTCAGTTCTCAGGCCAGTGCTCACCCCACTGAGCCACACCAGCCAGGGGAGAACTGTGAGCCTTTATATTCCTGAAGATTTTTTTATAGTTGTTATCAGATTGAAAATGGAAAAAAAGAGAGAGAAAATAACATTTGATTTGAGGGATAACCGAAAGTTCATAACAAATACATAAATGCTCATTACAAGTATCATTTTAAATTTGATGAAAGTAAGATAGCCCCATAAGTTCAGAAAACAAGGGTAAGACAATGGGCACTTTTAGATGTAGTTGTTCTCCATTTCTGAGGCTAAATCATTTTTTCATTTCATTTATTCACTTATTTAACTGATACGTATTAAGGCACTGTGCTAGCTAGTATGGGAGAGAGAGAAACATGTACCCCCCAGATTCAAGAAATTTACAGTCTAAGGGATGGGAACAAACATTCAGAAACTAATCGAGCTTTGAAATTGGCTGTCATGACTGGGAAAGGAGAAAAATGTGAAAGCTTTTATCCACAGTTAAATAGAGGAGATACCCAAACATAAACAGGAGCAACATCTTAGCAAAGAAAGTAAATATTTTTCTGTTCAAGATAAGGTTTAACAAATGGAGAACCAGGGCTGTGCGCATTCTCTTTGGCTTAGTTGTTTGCTTCCCAGAATCTCACCTGGTGCTTCATCATCACACCTCCCCTGGCTAAGTCTTCATCCTTTGAGTCTCAGCTGCTTTTGGAAACCTTCCCTGATCCTTCCAAGTCAGGTGCCCCCACTGGGGACTTCTGTTAGAAGTTCCAGAACTTTACTGCCTGGGATAGTATCCCAACTTTGCCTGCCTCCAGCTGAGGGACCTTGGAGCAAGTTAGTTACTCCC